TTTGAGTATTGATATTTTCAATGAAGTAACTAAAGGGAGAATTAGACATTTGAACGGGAAGTTGTTGTTCAAGTTTTGGGTTCCTCACACCCCAACCCCGGCACCGAGAAATATCTATACTGCCTTCAGTACTTAAGTGCAAATACATCAGCACATATGGTAGATGTACTTTTGGATAGATCTTAGGTGAGAATGTATTCATTTTACCTCAGAAGAACCATGCTTTGGCAGAATGAGATGAGATACTCTACTCAGCGTACACATCATTGCTATGCTTCCACACTATTAAATAGTTTGCTGAATTTTCCTAATTCTGATTTTGTACTGCCTTAATAGAATGAGCTGCATAACTGAAGCAAATTTAAATAGTAGGAAAAAAGTCTTAGCTCATATGAAGTCATAAAAATGTTTGTATAGTAAGCCTCACAAACTTCCCACTAATTAATGCCTTTGAATCATTAATCTCTGCAGCTCCTAATACTATTTATTCAAAGGTTGTGATCCTGAAGTTAAAAGCAGGGCAGCAGACTGCTTTCCCCAGTAAGAGATATTTCCTGTATGGTCCTCAAACACAGATATCTGGGTTTGTGTTATTTAATCAGTTCCAGATAATCAATCTACTGCATTAAAAATCCTGAAACTGTTCTGTGGCAGCACTGCCTTAGTAAAAATAAAGTGGTAAAGCCTGGCTTATCAATTACTGTTTGGACAATTACACTAGTCTGAAGACTAAGAGAATTTAACAGCTGCACTCCCAATGCCTTCAAGTTTAAGGTCAGCTGCCAAACACTCAGCACTTCTGAAGAAACAGGCCACACATTTAGGAGTCTAAACATGGCATTAAAAATCCAACTTTAACAACCTGCTCTTCACCTAATATTCACTGGCATTTGTATCATCTAGATTAGCCATTTAAACTGTTAAGCTTTATTAAATTGTACTAAAACTGTCATATTGAAAATCTGAAATTCTCTGAATGGAAGTGATTGTAAGGCAGAAGCAACATGACAGCAGCTTAAATTAAATATCTAAAATTAACTTCTGTTGTGACATACAGTCTTATTTCAAGTGATTTGCTATCTCTGAAAACTTGAGCGTGTTTCAAAAATAAATAGCAAAAGAAAAATATGCATTTGTGCAAGATGCTACCTTACCACACAAATCCCCAGCTGGAGAGCTAAATTCCAACATAAAATAATAAAGCTCAGCTTTTAGGACCATGAACATTACACATACTGTTTGTTTCAACAAACAGGAAGGACAAATCAAGGTGAAAAACACCCAGACACGCAGTGTATTTCCGTAATTCAAAAGAGACACAGAAACTAAATTCATATTCATTGAATGCAGTGTTTTTACTAGAATGAAAATAGTTGAACACTGCAGTGTATTATTAAACTGTTTTAACAGGTTCTAGTAAGCTCATTTGCAAGACAGTAAGAAAAACTAAGCTTGTAATCAAAATAGGGTTAGCAGACACTGCAATTCTAAAAAAAAAAAAAAATTTAAAACCAGTTAATTATTGTTCTCATCCAAGGAATGTAAATCAAGAAAAACGGATATACAAAACACTGATTTCTGTGCTTGCATTCTGATCTCATAAATGCCTGAAGCATGTTTTTTAGGGAAAAGCAACAGCATCAGGTGTTAGAAAAATATATTTTTAGTTTTGTACCCTATATTTTATTTTGTACTTCAGGTCAGGGAATAAGAGGGAACATTCATATTATCTGACTTCTTGAAATGCAATATAAGTGCCTAAACTGGAATCCCAAGGGCTGTGTAAGGTCAGTGGTGCCAGGTATGTTCTTCTAGAGAATTAGATTATCTAAATAAGGAACCTAGATTCTCTCTAAGGAGAGAGAAATAGGCTCCTCGATTAAATGCTTAAGTTGTATGGTGTCAGTACCTGACAAGATTTTTGACTATTCCTTTAATGATTCTGGTACAAGGCAACAACCCCTTCCCTTTGTGAAGTACCTATAACGGTGTAAGCAGTACGGAGCTTAAAACTTGTAGATGTAATTTTGTCTGTGAAAGAACTTTATTTGATGCATATCTTAAAAACCTGAGGAAGGCAAAAATAGCTTCTTATGGTGAGTCCTATAAGAAAAAGATGGCTATAGGTTTAAGTTGCTCACATTTAAATCAGCATTGCCATGCTGTTTAATCACTTTTACTGAAAAACCATAAAAACCCTGTTGAACTTTTCAAAAATCCCAAGAGATGTCTTCATAATTTCTGTAAGCAAAAGCAATTTTGCTGCAACTGATGTGGCCATTGTGAGTTCAACTTCACATGGGACATATTTCAGTTTAAACTAGGAAGAACAGAAAATATGTTTTCAACCCTGTAAGTAATACACATAATTATTTACTCAGTTATCAGTAAAGACATTGATTGTCACTGGTATGTTAGTTTAATATCAAGAAACATTTTCATCAGAACTGATGTCAGTTCTATACTAGGGACCACCATCAATGCAAAGACCAAAGAATAAAGAAGTTTGATGGAAGGACAGAGCTTCAAATTTGCATACAATTTCTCCGTGGCTTATCTTGTTTGCATGAGATATATGTTCTTGAGAAAACGGATGAGCAGCTGACACTGCTGAAGGCTATTTGGACTTGGAAAAAATATAAAGCATTTAAAAAAAATGGTATCTGAATGTTAATGATCTACACAAAGTTAGTCACTGAGGGCACTGGCTTTTCTAAGCTGTTTTTATTTGCTAAGTTTGAGCTAGCTAAAATTCAGAGGAAAGGTGCCACACAAAACGATTCTGCAGTTAAAACAAAGAAAAAAGTACTCTGCAAAGGTGTGAGTGATGCAGTGTGTGTATTCAACATGCAGGCTAAGATGTATTGGAAGCTTGGAAGAAATAGGTAACTTCTACACATAAAAAACTTTTGTGTTAGGCTTTGCAGACAGCACAAAAGTTAATTAGTACTATTTTTCAGTATCTTCTGAAATTGCTACTGTATCTTTAAGAATCTTCAATCTAAATACCACAACCTTTTATGGAAGGAGACAAGCACAGTACGAATTAGCAAGATGGGTGTTTGACAGCACTGCAATTGCCAACACAAGTCTTGATGAAAAGAAGCACGAGCTCCAAGCTCTACTTAACTTTTTCATTATGACTTCCAAAATGTAACAGTCATCACAAGGAATTAATCATATAACAATAGTGTACTAACTGAAAAATAAGAACACGATTTCAGTGTAGTAAAACAATTTATGGAAACATCTAGTGTTTCCACAATAGCAGTAGATAACACTGCAACCCTTCAAAGAGGATTATTTTTACTGTGTTCTTCAACTATGACTTTATACGTGTCTGGGAGATTTAAGCATAAACAAATCTACGACATAAATGTAGCCAAATAGGCATATTTAATTGGTGGCTCTGGTGCTCACAGGTATGAACAACAACTAAGTGTCCAAAGTGTCACTTTGACACTGTTCCTTAAAAAAAATCCCCTAACCCCTAAACAGAAACAATAATGTATTTTAAAGTTAAACTGCAAGGATTTCTTTCCTACCCCACTACATAAAAGTTATAGAGATTATAGTCTGAACACACAAGACACTTGTTTAGACATAAAATGAGTTAATCTGTAGGAAACAACCACTTGTAGAAGCTTCTGAAAGTTCAAGTAATGGCCATATGGACTTCAAGGTCTATGAATGAGCAAATATATTCACAACTTGTGCTTAGCTGCACATGAATTCCAATGTATATGTCACTGCATCTTAAACACATGATGGCATTAATATTTTCAAATCTGTTCCTTAGGCTAACATCTTTATGACACATTTCAGGGTTTACTTTCTACTATTCTCAGAGCCCTGTGCTGCAAAGCACTGCCTGCCTGTAAACTATTTTCCTCAGCAGAACATAACACCTGAAGAATGCCACATTTCCCCCCTATCTTCCTACCCACACAAAAGATTATTCAACTATGATACTCCAGCTAGCAAGGCTACTTAAGGGAATCAGTATTCACACTACGGGCAAATCCTCTTGAGTTTTCACATCCAAACACGTACACATGGAGCAGGACTTTGGCATGTCCAAAAGTCATATTACATTCAGGAATACTGCCAGTAACAGAGCTCACCTGGATAGAGTTGGGACACCGCCTCCTGTCCCAAACGGACCTCTGCCAGCAAAATGTCAAGAAAAACAGGAACTCTAGTGGGACATCTGGTCCCAAGGAGCACCCTTTTGCCACTACTACAGCTACACAAGGATTAGATTGCTAATTTATGCAAATACAACTTTATCAACTCAAATCTGGTCAAGAATGAAAGGCCTCTGCTAACAACAAATAACTAAATCCATATGGATTATTTTTCCCATTCTTACGTTTTACGTAGAGGTTACTGAGGTTGAAGCTAAGTGATTTATCTAAAGTCACAGAAGATGTTGCAGGCAAAATTCAGGTGCTGAACCTGAATCTTTAGTTCTAAGACACACCTTCCTGTTTAACACTTTTAAGTCACAGGACTTCCAGACAAAAGAAAACATAAAAGGTGATACAATGTGGAGGAAAAAGATCTAACTTGCAAACATCGGTCTAGAATACCAGTAAAAGATGAACATGTCGAGACTCAAGAGCCATCTACAGAAGTAAGAAAACCTAAGCACAAGGACAAGTAAAAAAACCTCAAGGTCTAAAGGGATTTATAAAAATATGAACATTACTACAGACAGAAAATACTTGCTGGATTGAATATATTTTGTTTTATTGTTTCATCAGTGCCTACAGTTTCTAGCTTTCTTGACAGTCAATATTCTTATTTAAATGTGAGAATCATACATTGCTGAATACGCTGAAAATATGGGGATTAGATGATATTTAAGACTAAAAATAATATAGACACAATTTTCAAACCAAGTATCAGGGCTGCAACCAGTTTGATTCTCATTTAAAATGAACCAAGTCAAAATGCTATGCAAGACTATGAACACACCAGGTACATACCATCCTTACCTGCAAAGGAAGGAGAGTGTTACTGTTGGTGTCAGTTCGGAAAACATTATCTTCAATCCACGATTTTGGTGTCAGTGATGGAGTGGAGCGAGTAAATTTAGGAGGAGCTATGACATTACCAGAAAAGGGCTTCTTCAAAGGAGAGATCTGGTTCATAGTTCCTGGAATTCCTATGTTTCCAGTTCTACGATGGTCTCTGCCATGCATTCCTCCCCAGGATATATTTCCTGTGCTCCAGCCACTGCTCTGATTGCTCCAAGGTGACTGCTTCAGAAGAGGCTACAAAAAAANAGGTTTCTATTAACCACTCTTTCCTAACAACATGTAAGTTAATTCCTGAGGCAAGGAAGAAAACACAGCTTCATTAAAGAAAAAAAAAAAAAAAGTAGTAATTCCTACTTCTTCATACATCCCCCCAATAAAATCCACAGTACTTGTGTAAGCAATTCAGATTATCATTTTAGTAACTGGTAGCATTCCTTAAAACTAGGCAAAAGAAAAATTCCAGGGTGTAACACCATCTTACAAAAAACCCTGAGACCAATTTAACATACATTAAAATAACACAAGAAATTCAGAGAGATTAACTTAAAAATTACTATTAAATTACTGTTTATATTTCTACTAATAAGAATTATTTCTACTCAGTGAATATTTCACTAGTTAGTAGAAATTTAAAAATTAGAATTCAAATGGCAGATTTAATCCCCTCCCCAAGTATTTTGAAAATCATTGTCTCAGTATTACCATATAAGAGCAAAAAGAGTACTGACTATTGTACAGAGAATCTCCTTGAAGAAGCTATCTTAACATTTCCAAATTAAAATGCATTATTCTGAAGCCCCTGCTCTAATATTTCTGGAGTAATGAATCTGTGGTATTCTGCAGGGTGTAGTCAAGGAATTTTTTTTTTTGAGGATTTTTGTTCTTATCTACATGTGGTTTATCTTACACTTGCCTAGATGCACATGTATCTAACAAGTATCCTATATTCTCCAACATGAAAATGGAAGCAGTTTTTAGATGGAAGGTTTTTATAAGATAATAACTTCTTATTCCTAAATCACAACTTATGCTAAAAAGTGACCTATAGTGGCTGTCATACTACCAAGAGGTGGACCCACTGAGCCTGACTGACAGTGAAGAACTGTACTTATCTTTAGCATTCTCAAGTCTGACTGTTCTTGGAAAGGCTTTTTCTCAAACATAGAAATGGAGTGGGGGTGTGCGCTAACTCTAAATTCAGTTCTCTTAAGCGAAAATACAGTACTTTTATCCCTAAGCTTAGCTGTGAGCAACCCTCAGCTTGCAATTCTAATAACCTAAAAATTCAAAGCATGTCAATACATTATACATTAAATAAAAACAGAACTTTATGAAGACAGAAATATGAAGTTATAACAACATCTCCCCTACCCCCAGAAAACAAAGCAAAAAACCACTAATGCCATTCTTGGTCAAGTAATCAGGAAAACATCCCATTCTATATAATTATAGATAATTATGTTGTAAAACTTGAATACTTGGGTTGGAATTTTGGGAGAGGCAGGCACTCTATTGTGAAACAAACCTTAAGAGACAATGCCAAATGTTAACAAGCCTCTAATATTGCTAGCTATGCTGTCATGGCACTGTTTAAGTATACCTACAACTTGTGAGAGAAAATTCCTGTACACCTCAGTGTTGGAGATTGCTGCGGAATTTGTTTGAAGAGGGTTATTATAGATTTTAAGGACAACTACCTTCTAATCATGACGCTTCGGAATCAGTTGTTGGGATAGGTACACTTAATGTGATATTCCAGTTCTAATACAAATTGATCTCTGCCGATTAAAACGGACAGGATTTAACACTAGAATGAAAAAAAAAAATTAAGAGGAGGCCTATATAACTTCAGCCTTTCATAACTGAGCAATTGATCAGAGCAAGATGGGCTTATAAGGCAATAGATGTTGATATTAACATAGCTTTGCTTCTCTCTGATTTCTTACAATATTTTTGTTCCAGACACAAACGTAAACTTCCATTTTTAACGCGGGATCGCTACACCACTTGATTAAAATCGGTCACAGCAGTACGGGAGCCTGAAACAGCGCTGTCCTCAGACAGACATTCAAGCAATGTCAGGTAAACTCCCTGAAAGGGCAGCACGGTGACAGCTTTCTCATCTAAACCTCCTCTCGGCGAGCTGCGCCCGTCCGGCCGAGGGCCGGTGCGGGGCCGGGGAAGGGGCTGCGCGGGGGGCGGCGCCGGCCGGAGCTGTCAGGCTCATTGTTCGGGGACACGGCACCCGCCGCGGGGGGACGAGGGGGCGTTTTCATGGCGAGACACCCTGACACCAACAGGAGCGTTTGCGCTCTTTTAAAAGGTCATTCTTCTCTCGTCACGAAAAAAACGGCGTGCCCGGACAGCCGACGGCGCAACGAGAAAGGCCGGCAGCGGCGCAGGGGACGGGGCCGAAGGGCTGTGCCGGCACCTGCCACCCGGAGCGGCCGGGAAGCGCGGCCGGGCGTGGAGCGGCCGCTGCCCGCAGACCCCTCCGGCTCGACCCCTCCAGTCGCCCGGCCCCGCACCGGAGGGGGGGGCGCAGGTGCCCTCCCCCCCTGCCTCCCGCTGGGCCGGCCCCGCCCTGCCGCCGCCACCGCGGTCCCGCCGGGCTGTCACCGCCGCGCAGCCTCGCCCGGCGCCGGCGGCGGGAGTGAAGCCGCCCGGCTCCCGCGACCGGCGAAACGAGGGCAGCGGCGCCCCCGTCCTGTCCCCGCGTCCCCCTCCCCGACCCGGGGCTCCCCATCGCTCTGCGCTCCCCGCCCGATACCTGGTGATGGTTGTAGGAGTTTCTCTGCTGTAAGAAGGCGGCGGCGGCGGCCGCCGCCTGGTGTTGGTGCTGGAGCTGGGGGCTCACAGGAGATCTCCGGTTCTGCTGCTGCTGCTGTTGCTGCTGCTGAGGTAAATTCATTTGCGGCGGCGGCGGGGGGGCGGCCGAGAAGGGGCTGCTGAAGGGCCCGGCGCAGGGGTTGTGAGGAGACACCGGCGAGAAGCTCTGGAAGAAAGCGGGGTTGATCGATGACGGGATCCCCGGGTAGAAGCTGGTCTCGGACTCCGGGCTCGGGGGCGGCATCGCGCTGATCTGCCCGCCGCCGCCGCCGCTGGAGACCGGAGGCTGCTGCGTCTGCTGCGGAGGCGGCGACGAGGTCTGCACCGACCAGGGGGTGCCGAAGCCGGGCAACGGCGGAGGAGGAGGGGAAGCCGCCGAGGAGGAGCCGCCCCCGCTCTGGTGATGGGGGCTGGGGATCTCCGGGCTCTGCAGGCTGCTGAAGCCAGAGCCGAGCCCGCCGGGCAGGAGGTTCCCGGGGCTGCCCAGTAAGTGGCTGTTCGGGGGGGACTCCATGGGGGGCAGCTTGGCTCTCGCCTGCAGATGAGGAGACGGAGGCGGATTCACGCAGGAGGCGGCGGCCACCCCCACATTGGGGTCCGCGGACGCCGATCCCCCCGGGCAGGAAGGGGCGAGCCGCTCCGAACCCCCCCTGTCCGCGCCGCCCTGGTGCTCGGCGGGGCCGAGGGGCCGGTGGTGCGGGTGATCCCCCGTCCGCGGTGGCTCCGGGGGGTGAGCGCTGAGGAGCTGGAGCTGGAGCTGCTGCTGTTGCCTGTGCTCCTGCTGCTGGTACTTGTCAGTGGGGTGGCTGAACTGCTGCTGCTGCTGAGGGGGGTGGTGATGATAGTCTGGGGGGTGGTGGTTATTCAGGGGGTGGCTGCTGCCGAGCTGGGCTGGGCTGCTGAGCTGCTGCTTAAACTCTTTCCTCTTCTGGCTCAGCTGAGGAGGCGGCGGCTGTGGCTGCTGCGCTTGCTGCTTGTTTAAATCCTGGTGGGGGCTGAGACAGGGTTTAAAGTCAGAGGAGGGGTGGCCGAAAGGGGGGTGTCCCGACGCGGGGCTGCTGCTCAGCCTCTCGCTGCCTGGCTGCTGCTGCTGTGTCACCCCCAGGAGCAGCTCATCCTGCATGTTTTGATGATGCGCAGCGGCGGCCGCTGAGGGGAAACAGAGCGGCGACCCGGCGGACACGCTGCCAGAGGAACCGGCTATACAGAGGGCGGCGAGGGGCAGGGCGAAGAGGAGGAATGAGGCGGCTGCGGCCGCTCCGGGGAGGGCAGGACAGGGGACAGGGGCGGCCGCCTGCGGGAGCTCCCCTGACACCGGCTCAGCGCAGGGGTGAGCCCCCACCCCGGCACACTGAAGAGACAAAGATAATTAATAATCTTTGTGGTGAAATGGGACGGGGGGGGTGGGGTGTTTAAATACCCGCCTATCGCAAGCCACTATGTAAGTCCGAAAATAGCTACTGTATAGAATAAAGCCCTCTCTTTGCCATCAGCGCCAGTGTACTGCTTTAAAAATACCGGAGCTTTTCGATAACGAGCCTGTTTTTATCAGATATTTTCGTTTTCATATCGGGACCCCCGGTAGGGCGGCCCTTCCTGCCTACAGTCGCACCCACAGGGAATCCGCTAGGTCAGGAATCCGCCCGGACAGGTCACTGTCCCCGGACACCAACTCCTCCGTCCGACCCCCCAGCCGCCACACCGCGACGCAGGGGGGAGAGCGGGGCAATCCCGGGCCTGACACTGGCGGGGAGGGGGGGGAGTGAAGGCGGGGAGGCCGCCGGTACCTCCGCAGGGCAGGCGACCCGGTCTCCTCAGCGAGGCTCCTGCCCCCAGCCCGGCCGCCGCCCCCGCCCCGCTGCCGGCCCGGGGCCGCCTCGGCGCCCTTAAGAGCGCCGGAACACTCGTCACAGTGACGTCACAGGCCTGGCCCCTGCCCGCCCGACCTTGGTAATGAGCCTTGAGGCCCCGCCCCTTTATGAATAATGCATCAGCTCCGGAGGTCGCTCCGCCTCTCCCTCACCGCCGGCGGCGACGAGCCGTGTGGGCGCTACCACTGAAAGCGAGAGGGAGGTGGCAGCTCTGCGAGCCTCCCGGGCGAGCAAGACAGTCACTGGGCTTCGACGACCTTTGTATCACTAAGCGAGACACACCTGAAACAAAGTGATTTTATTTCGTTTTGCGGCGGCGGGCGCCGTTGGCTTTTATCCCTACAGACAGTGCGGGGCGAAGCCGGAACCCTGGTTTCTCCCGCCGCCCGCGGTCCCGTCAGGCGCTCCTTCGGGACGGGGCGGGGGGGAAGCGCCCGCCCCTGCGCGTCTCGCGCCGCTCATTTGCATTGACGCACGGCCGCGCGCCACGGGCGGGCGGGGCAGGGCGGGGCGGGGCGGGCGGAGCGCGAGCGCGGCGGCACGAGACGGGCCGGGTGTCGAGGGCCCGCCCCCTCCGCTCCCGGCCCCGCCCCCCACCCCGGTCCCGCCGTGTGGCCGAGGTCCCACGGCGGTGGAGCACACGGGTGGGGCAGTGAGGCGTGTCAGAGCTCCCGGGCACTTGGGTTTGTCACCCCTTCGTCCCCACCCGGCCAAGGCCTGCCATCAGGCCTTGTTTCTCGGGCTCCTCGGTCATCCACGCGAGCTGGGACACAGCCCGTGCTGGGGTGTGGTGGCACGAGGTGCTGCCCTCTGAGGTATTCCAGTGTCAAAGGTGGGGTTTTACCCTTTTCGTCCATTGGAAGCACAAACGAATAAATAATTTGGCACATACAAATGTACTGTTGATACAGATGAATATATCCCTAAAAAGACTAAAATAAGCGAGCTCCCTTTGTGCTCTGGAAAAGCTGTAGCTCAGTAATGGAAGAATTAGTACACAGCTGTTGAATGTGTGAGTACACAGGGAAAGTGTCATGATGTGCTTGACTTATCGTACTTTTCTCTAGGCGTCCATCCATGCCCAATGTTAGTGACTGGATGGCTGCGTTCTTGCCTGCCCCATGGACCTTTGGTCTGACCCAGTGTAACAATTCGTATTTGTTAAATCTGTGCGTGTTTGCTATACACATACAGAATGTAGAGGGGAAAGGAATTGGTTCGGCGTTGCAATCATCTCTGATGTGACTGTGGACCTGCGTGGGTGTATGTATTGGGGTTTCCATGCCATCTTGAAGAGTTAGAATGAAAATACACTTGCAGCATAGAAGAATAATTGATACATGTTTATCTTTGCTGTATTATGGCTTAGCACTCCAGAATAATTCATTAGATTGGCATCTGTTTCAGGAACTCTCTGGCCATCTGTTTTACAAGGGTTAAAAGAAATCCAGAGTGCAGATGAAGGCCCTGCAGATGATCACATGCTGAGTAAATGTTGCCAGCCAAGTAATGGTTCCTCTCTGTGTAGTGAGTTGCTTCACAGCACAGCCCTCATAAACATTAGTTTGGTGAGCTGCAGAACCGGTAGCATCTGGCTTCTCTTTGTGTCCATGTCATTCCCTTTGTGACCTGACATTCGGTCGAGTGCAAGCCTGAACAGAAGCTGTCCTCTGCTTGGGGCGTTCTCAGGCATCTTAGCCAGTGTGGAAGCAATGCTGCTCTGTGTCTCTCCTATAGCCAGCTGCCTATTTCTACAAAGTGCATAGGAACTCATTCATTTGAGGTTTTTTTCATAAGTGGTCAGCTTCTCCATCCTTCACCTTTAAATCAAGTCCAAATTCTAGCAATTCTTGCTTCAAAACAGCCGTCTTGGAGTGTGAGTGGTCTTTTTAAATTGACTGAAAGACAGAAGTGCTCACATCCTTCATGCCAGCTTATCTCTACCATGGTAGCCAGCTACCATAATCAGTGTGTTTGTTAAAACAGCTTTCATGGGGTGAATCTCATCTATTTTTAACCATGTGAAAAGGAAGTGTGCGCTCTGCATTAGCTACCTAATCTTCTACAAATACAGGACAGGTGCTACCAAAGATGATTCAGCCTACCCTGATGCAGGTACTTTTAGAGAGAGAAACCTGATCTCTCTCTCTGCTGATTATGAGGAAAGGTTCTGGCTGTTTCGCTGCAGAATCCAGTAGGTTTTTGGTGCTCCTTGGTCTTGTGGCATACACTTTTTGACTTTGGATACAAGCAGGAATGAGTCAAACCAAGAATCCTTCAGGCTCTTCTGCCTCAGATATGAGACCCCTTGGTGTACGCTGAGGCCACAACTTCTGGCTTCTCCTCTACAAAATTAAGTCTCTTAACTGGTACCTTGGTGCCATCAAGAAGTGCTGAGGCCTGTCCTTGGCAGTTTGCTTTCTCTCTCCACTCCCAAGTTTCTTGATTTTTGACCACTTTGCCTTCACACCCTCTTGCTTTAATGTTTTATTCTCTCTTGTAATCCCTTGATTCTTTCCTGCTTTCATTTATCTTAGCTGCCCCTTTCTAGGCAAAGCTTGAGAGCTTTTTTGGATTAGGTTAGTTGTAAGCTAATAGTGTCTGAAAACAGATGCCTAAACGAATATGTAAGAACAAGCTAAATATGTATAATGCTTCCTTCAGGTACCTCAACCATTTACAACACAAGAACTCCCTAAATCTGCCTTTCCAGACCTTAGGGGATACTGGGATGGTTGGACTTCATGTTCCCTGATTGTTACTGAAGAGAAATTGCCTGAAGAAGAGAGCATGCTGGCAGAGCCCTACCTCATCTGAATGACTTGAAGAAGCCAGAGAGTTGTGGAGCTGGTATGAGTTCCTTAAACTAGACAACAAACATTACAAATGCCAAGCCATATGCAATATCACTGTACATAATATGTAAATTGAAAAAAACAGATGTTGCTGTCAGTACGGTAGAACCAAATATACATAAGTTATGGTTTTTGCTGTCATTAATCAACTCGCTTCTGTGTATACATTCCAACAAACGTGCCAGACATCAACTTCACCTGGGAGGCCTCCACCTGTGGTGGAGCTGGGGCTGACAGGTTTCCTGGCTTTGTTGGTGCCTGATTTGTCTGGTGTTCTGCATCATCCACTGGATGCTAAATTTTGTGAACCAAATTGAACTTCTACAGCAGTGCTATAGAAGAGAAAATATAAAGACAAATCAAAATAAACTATATAAAATAGCACTATATAAAGACAAAATAAACTGTAAGGATTACAGAGCAGCTCCTCTGGCTGCCATTTGGGTGAGATGAAAGGGATCATTAAGGTAGTGGCTTCTGAGTTTTGCGCTTGATTGGTTATCATCTCTTCCAGAAATTACCATGCACAACTTAAGTTCTTTCATAAAACCAGAAGAATACCATCTGCTGTTGGCCAGCGTTAGCAACAGGATATTATTATATGAGAAAGGATTTTGGCCTACTGTTCTATTTTTCTGCTTGAACAAAAAAATCTTAAGTGGTTATAAAAGAGCTCAACGGGATTATACTGAGATGCTGTCCACTTCAGAGAGGTCTGTGGATTTAGCTTCCTTTAAAAGTGTTCTTGGGGGCAGCATCCACACTTTTTCCTGATCAGACACCACTTAACAAGTGTTACAGTTTTTTGTGAACACAAATCATGAAACTGATAAAAATTTAGTTATAGTATGTAGATTTTATATGTATGCGAAATTACTTCAGCACTTTCTCATTTTGTAAATGAACACCAGAATATCAGGAGCCTAACATATACAAAAGAAAATAGCTCTGACTACTGCTAGAATCTGCTGTTTCCCTCCTATTAGCTAGCTGGAAAATCACTGTGGCTGTGATTTTGAATATGGGCTGCAATTAAACGTACACATGAAAAGTATCTTTGCTTTCATTCCAATACTAAAACTACCTTTTTTGATGATTTTTTCTTTTTTAATGTACAGTTAAAAGTAAATGTGGTTACAGATAGTACTGACTTCAAAAAAGCTTTTGTAGAGAGGCTCAGCACAGAGACTCATTGGCTGCTTGTAATGCAACAAATTGCTCTTTCCACAACCCACAATATTTATAGGCCTTTCACCATTTACAGTGATTTACTACTATGTTTGACCTCTTTTCCAAAGCTCTACAGCTACAAAACAAACAAAAAAACCCAAAATCAAAACCCAACAACAACCACCACCACCAAAAAAACACCAAAAAACCACCAAAAACAAACAACACCCAAAACAAAAATGAAATCAGAGGTTTTAAAATCAGTTTCTTCTTTTCTCTTTGCTCTTTTACCTCTCCTTCTCGCTTTCCATATCTTTTCCTGGGCTCTTTGTCAGCCATCTGTGTTTAGGTAGCTGTGTCTGCCCTGCACTGCTTGCAAGGACTCTGCTAAGAGATCTGCTCAGTCTTCCCTATTATCAGGCCGTTTAGGGAAGTACACAGTGTGCTGTCCTGTGGTCTGTGACATGTATCTACTTTGTTCCTCAGTTTAAACTTTGAAACGGGTTTGCATATGCATTCCAGGAACAGCACATTGTTCTAAATGGTAACTAAAATACGTGATTCTCCAACTTTTGCTGGAGCTGCTTCCTCTTAACTTTAAAGCTGATTTTTGTTAATGACTTTTTCCTCTCATGGAAACATGGTAAATAGTCTGGCACTACAGGTTACATAGAAAAGCAGATGATGAGGTTTGACTTTCATAGGAAAAAGAGGTCTGTAGATTTATATCGGTGTGCTTCATTCACTGTTTTTCTGTTCTTGATTTTTTTAAACTCTGAAAATAATAATTATGCATCCTTAGGAAGGAGGTAGGTAAGTCTTTTTCAGCAGTGAGCAGTCCATTGAATCGCAGTAGCTTATCTTTTCTCCGAGAGTTTTTTCTCATTAAAAGAAAAAATATTAATCATCCATATATAGCGAAACTGGGTAAAAACCCCTTTTGTTAGATTACTGTGTGTAGAAATTAAATTAAAAGCCGGGATGAAAATTAACACCAGGGATCGAGATGGTTTACTTTGTTCTCTTATTCCCACTCCCACGTTACATTTTTGTTTGTTTATTTTTAAGGATAAAAATCTTAAAATTCACAGGAGATGGGCAGCTTTCTTCCTTTATTCAAAGCCTGACTTCCATCGTGAGAGCTGTACTGCCTGCTGGACTTGAAGGATATGGGTTCTGGTCGCAAGAATGCAAAGCAGTAATTTACTCTGTTTTTTCTCCTTTGTGCCCTGGAGTTTAACCAGCACATTAGACTAATATTTTCTTGCTTGCTAGTGGCAGTTTCTGTTTCTTTTTGTTTTGGGGTTTTTTTGGTAGTGGAAGTCATTAGAGTTTCTCCCAAGAGAATCACTGCCAAAGTAAACAAACATCTTCATGAAAGGAAAATAATGTCTGTGGAGTATTCAGAATTCCATGTTTTACAGACGAGTATTTATGGCAACCAACTAGTGAATTAAAGTGAATGAAATCCTATTTCTAGTTTGCTGCTTCTGCTGTGCTAATTGAATGTGGCAATTTCTGCTAGCTTCTCAGCTATGCAGTGCAAGTGCTGAATGTTAGTTGTAATTTAGGATGAAGGAAAATATGGACGAAACTGAGTTGAGAAAAAGGGTTTTCTTTTATTTTTTATTGTCAGGAATTGAATAGTGCATGTAAACCTCCAAGGAATTGCTGTTGTCTCTAAAATGTTCTGCATGTGGTTGGCAAGAACAACAAGGACAGAAGAAAG